CATTTAAACTCAGGCCCACCCTGAGAAGTTAAGTATCACACGTTATGCATCCATTTTCTGCCATGAATAACCAATAAACTGTTTTGAACCAAGGACTGTCTCCTTCATCAAGACCTGCCATGATGAGCCATGGAGAAGGCACTCACCTACAGAGTCACAACTTTATTCTCCCATAGAGGCCTCTGAGCTTCTAGTTACAAAGGCCACCAAGCCTGCCTCCACCATGCTAAAGGCAACCACACCAAACAATGACACAAGCTGGAGATTCCCCTTTCCACTGGCCCCAGGCTAGATGCTGTCCCAAGCTCTCAAGCCCTCAACTCCTTCTAGATTCTTCTGTGACTCCTAGTTGTGCCTAATGTGCAAGAGTCTGAGAACCCCATAGCCCCTGCCTCTTTTCAGTCCCAGGAACCTCCCAAAACAGCTCCTCCTTTTTTACATCATAGTCTGTGCTTTCTCACACTCAGATCAGTGTCTCAGTACTTCCCTACAACCCAACACCCAACCAGGTGGTAGAGAAGGGTAAGCACAGTCAAACTCCATGCTTTCTGCCTCCCTAAAAACTGTGCCCAACAACAAAGTGGACATGGACCAACACACAATATAATACAATTTAGCTATTAAAAACAGAGACATCATGAATTTTCCAGGCAAATGGATGGAACATGAGAATATCATCCTGAGCAAGGTAATCTAGACCCAAAGGTCATGCATGGTATGTACTCATTCATAAGAGGATATTAGACATAAAATACAGGATGTCCATGCTATGCTCCACAGATGCAATGAAGCGAAATAGGAAAAAAAGTCCAAGCAAGGATGCTTGAATCTCACTTAGAAAGGGGAATAAAATAGTCATAGGAGGGAGATGGAGGGAGTGAACTGGGTTGTGAGGATGGACAGGAAGGGAATGGTGTATTCAGAATCAGGTATGAGGAGGGACAGGAGAGATGACGATGTAGAAATCTGCAACTAGCAGGGGTGGGGAGGCAGGGGTGCATTTCAAAGAAGTGCCAGGGATCTGGGATAGGGGAGGAGCCCAAGAATCAATGGAGGTGATCTTAGCTGGGACTCAGAATTGGTGATATGGAACCTGAAGAAGCCACCTACTGTAGCAAAGTAGAAATCATGGAGCGATAGGGAAACCAACCCACTCACAAATTTTTGAACTCAAAATTTACCTTGCCTAGAAGAAATGTAGAGACAGGAAATGAACTAGCTACTGCTAGTCTAGCTATAACCAGGCCTACTAAAGATCATAGGCAATCACCAATCCCTTACACTATTAAAATAATGTTTTTAAAAGAATATCTCTTCTGTACAATGTGATAGTCATAGAAAGCAAAGATGTTTGCACGTCTCTCAAAATTTTTAGAGGTTAATGTAACAAAAAAATGCAATCAATGAGAATTAAATTATTTGGAAGTTTTCAGATAATTTTATATTTGGTAAAGCCTGAAAATCTGTTCCATCAGATTGTCTTACAAATTATAGTTAAAGTATCCTTTAAAGTTGTTCACATTTTTGTTTCATTTACTGCATCAGCCTCAATATGCTTATATTTTCATGCTTATATTATATTCCATTATATTATAATATGTCACGCTTATTTTTTCATACAAAACAGTTGTTTTATGTTTCAGAATTTTCTATGATTATTTCTTATGTGCTTCTAATTATGCTGTTACCTAGTTTAAAAGGTGATTTTAAATTTATAATTAAATTCTCCTGAATTTTATAAATTCCAACTATTTACTCCTTAAAGTCATCATATCTTTAAAGAAAATCAATCCTTTAAAAATTTCAGAGATAAGCCAGCCAGTGGTGACACAACATTTTAATTCCATCACTTGTAAGCAGAAGCAGGCAAATCTCTGACTTTGAGAACAGCCTGTCATAGAGTTTGAGGACAGCTAGAATCTCATAGTACAACCTTATCTCAAAAAATGAAAAAAAAATATTTTAATAATATACCCCTCTAGATTGTTTAAATACCTGCATACATTTTGCTTATAATATATTAACATATTGCCTTGTAGTGTAATTTTCTTCACTTAATCACACTTTTGGGAGGTCAGAGGTTAGAGCCCTTATCTAACATGCATGGAGCCTTGGTGCTGCATAAAGCTAGATGTGATACTGGAATCTCAGTGCTTCGGAAGTTGAAGCAGGAGGATCAAATCACAAGGTCCTCTTTAGCTACATAGAGTTAGAGGACATCCTGAGATACCATAAGACCTTGCCTCAAAGGAAAAAAATTAAAAAGCCACCTTTCTGTTCTGTTACCACTCCTGAAAATATGGCGATGTTTCTAAGAGCTGTCAAACTTTCTGCAAGAAATGTGGTAAGCAATAGCCTCACAGTTAAATAGTACATGAATTGCAAGGACCCTCTGTCTGCCCATGGTAACTGACCTTCTGACAGGCAACAGAGAGGGTATGGTAGCAGCCTAAGACTATTTTTGTGAAGACTCAGCAATACCACACCTGGGCACATAGCCAGAAGATGTTCCAACATATAACAAGGAGATATGCTCCACTATGTTCACAGCAGCCTTATTTATAATTGCCAGAAGCTGGAAAGAACCCAGATGTCCTTCAATGGAGAAATAGAAAATATGATACATTTACACAATGGAGTACTACACAGCTGTTAAAAATAGTGAATTCATGAAATTCTTAGGCAAATGGATGGAACTAGAATATATCATCCTGTGTGAGGTAACCCAATTACAAAAGAACACTCAGGTTAAGTACTCACTGATAAATGGATACTAGCCCAAAAGCTCGCAAAACCCAAGATACAACTCACAAACCACATGAAGCTCATGAAGAAGGAAGAGCAAATTGTTGGTGCTTCATTCCTTCTTAGAAGGAGTAACAAAATACTCATGTGACAAGTGATTAGTGTGGGACAGAAACTGAAGGAGGGTTGGTCCAGAGACTGCCTCACCTGGGGATCCACCCCATGTGCAGTCACCAAAGGCAGACTCTGATGTGGATGCCAGGAAGTGATTGTTGACAGGAGCCTGATACAGCTATCTTTTTAGAGGTCTGTCAGAGCCTGATATATACAGAGGCAGATGCTCACAGCCAATGATTGAACTGATCATGGGTTCCCAATGGAGAAGTTAGAAAGAAGACAGAAGGAGCTGAAGGAGTTTTCAGACCCATGGAGAGAGCAACAGTACCAATTAAACAGAGCTCCCAGGGTCTAAACCACCAGCCTGGAAGCACATAGGGAAGAACCCATGGCTCTAGCTGTATAGGTAGGGAAGGATGGCTTTTCAAACATAGGTGGGAGAGGAGGTCCTTGGTCCCATGAAGGCTGGATGCCCCAGTGTGACAGAATTCAAGGGTGGGGAAGTGGGAGAGGGTGGGTGGGGACACACCCTCATCGAAGCAGGAGGAGGGGGGAATGGGATAGGGGGTTTCTGGGTGGAGATAACATCTGAAATGTAAAAAAAAAAATCTAATAAAAAAGAATACTTTTGCATTTTGTAAGTATAGGGAATACTGAATAAACCCTATGTGACATTAAAAAAAAGAAAAGGCTAAAGCTCCAGAGAAGAATGTGTTGAAGCATGAGTATGTCACCCACAGCAGAGCAAAGAGAATACTGGAAAGCACAATCAGAGATAGAAACAAGTGATAGTTCTAAGCTGATTGTGCTATAAAGGCAATAAAATGATGAGCACTAACTCACAAGAAGAGAAGAGAAGGAGAAACAGGAGAATGTGATAGTGAAGAAGGAAATAATAAGGAAAGAAAAAGAAAAAAACATGGTAAAAGGAAGCTGGAGGCATGGCTCAGTAGTTAATGCGCTTGTTACTCTTCTAGAAGACCCAGTTTTGGTTCCCAGTACCCACATTCTGGCTCACAACTGTTTGCAATTCCAGTTCCAGAGGAAGATCTCAAATCTTACCTTAAAAACCTTAAGCTTAGATCTTATAAAATTAAGGACAACTCTTTAATGAAGTTTTTGTTTGTTATGCTTGTCCTTGGTTTGATAAAGGACCAGAAATATCTAATAGTTTAAATGACCTTTACATTGTTTCAGTAGCCAGAGGCTCCCCCAATTTCACGACCAGGTGACTAATAGCACAAGTGACATCCATATTATTGATATGACTAAGAACATGCCAGAACCTTCCTTCATCTCATAAAATAGTACAGGTAACCCATCTCTAAAACTACAAGAAATGAATGTACCCTAGGTTGAGTGTCTATGTAATTACACTTCTTTGTGTACTAGAGATTATACTACACCAGGAAACCTTTTTTCCAAACTATGCAATGTCTAAATTGGATGGGAATACAGTACCTGACACGAGTTCAAAAGTCTGATCCAGATTAATGAATTCACTTTAAACTAGGTTTTATTTTTCACCACTTCACAGTTTGCTTAACTGCCTGTAAACTGGCAGAATTCTCCTTACTCAGAGGATAGAAGAGTGATTAAAATTCCTTGAACTGGAGTTACTAAAAGCAAGGAATGATGCAGGTGTTGGGACTAAATCCCATATCTCTGGAAGAACAACCAGTATTCTTAATCATCTCCCCAGACACCTTTCTCAGGTATAAATCCTATAAATAGACAAAAGTATTTTTGCCTAAAAATTTGCTTGGAGAGTGTTTGTGTGTGTGTGTGTGTGTGTGTGTGTGTGTGTGTGTGTGTGTCTGGGTGTGTGTTGACAATCCTGCAGAATAAATCCTAGGTGTTCCCAGAACTCTGCTACTCTGAAACAGTTTTTTCTTTGTTTGTTGTTTATTTTGTTTTGTTTTCTGAGACATGAGAAGTATTCCCTTGCTTTGAGGGGAGTAGTCCTGGGGAAAAGGACACAGATTTGGGACAGAAAAGTTTCTCTGATCCCTGTATAAGAACATGACACTGACATTTAAGGGCTGGCAAAGAGAAACACTCTCAGCAGCTGAGCATCTGGAGTCATCATAAGGAGCAATGGGGGCAGCCTGTGCTCTCACTTCTGCTTCCCTGGGTGGTTTATGTCAAGGCTTGAATCACTGTGGGAGGAGTATAACCTTGTTGACAGTAATAATCTGCGATATCTTCAGGCTGCAGGCTGTTGATCTTGAGAGAAAACTGTGTGCCAGATCCACTGCCACTGAACCTCGATGGGACACCATCATGCAAGCTGTTTGCCTTATAGATCAGGAGCTTAGGAGATTCCCCTGGTTTCTGCTGATACCATGCTAAATAACTGTTAATGTTTTGACTTGCTTGACATGTGATGGTGACACTTTCTCCCACAGATGCAGCCAGGGAGGCTGGAGACTGAGTCATCTGGATGTCACATCTGGCACCTAAGATTGAAAAATTGAAAACAAACCCCCACATGATTATTTCTGTTGCAAGAGGATTTTCACTGAGACCAAGCACCACTGACTACAGAAATCTGAATAAATTTCCAATGCTGTCTTCCTTACCTGTAAGCCACACCAGCAGGAACCCCAGGAGCTGAGTGGGCACACTCATGTCTGTGTGTGATCTGTGTGAGGCTGACTCCAGCACAGCGTGTGACCAGACTATGAAGAAGTCTTCATGTCTGTGGGCTGTGATTTGAGTACATGCAAATCAGCAAAGGGTAGACACAGTTGCAGGACTTACCAGGTCAGTAACTCATTACAGCCCTATGATTCTCTTATGTCTTCAATCAGAGACTCAGTACAGGTTTATTTGTAGGGAATGTGCTTCTCTTTGAACAATAAACAACAGCAACACTCTATGAGTTGTACATTATTTTCATATCACATTCCATGTAGAATTTACTTGTTATGTTTTCTTCCATGAAAAGTTGTTTCAGATATGGTACAATTTTACACACTACATAAAGGGTTCCATTTTCCTTTCAAAGTTAGTTGTACATGTTATTACAGTCATGGAGCTTCCGATGTTTTTTCCAATCTGTTTATGAGACTAAATTATAATTACACCATTTTCACCTTTCCTCTCCTTCCAGTTTCCTCCAAATACACATCTCTGTTCTCCTTCAAATTCACAGCTTCTTTTTCCATTAATTGTTTTTGTATGCACTTATGCATTTCTATACAGACACACACACACACACATACACACACACACACACACTCTCACAGAGAGAGAGAGTTTCCTAAATCTAAATTGTTGAGTCTATATAATATTATTGTATGTATGTTTTCATGACTGATCTTTTCATTGTGGACATTCAATTGGTGTGGTCTTCCCCAAGAAGGAATATCTCTTCTACTGCCAGCTTTACCCGGTACTTTACAGCATGTTTATAGATGTAAAGCCTCATGGGCTTTTGCCCATCCTGTTTGTCATGCTCATTGGTGTTAGTATTCGAGCGTAGTTTGGACAGACAACACCAAAGCCGATCCGGTTCCAAGGGAAGGGGTTTATTTGGGGAAGGGAGTGGGAGAGAGGAACGGGAAGATGGCGAGTGAAGAGAAGACGAAGAGAGAGAGAGGTTGGGGGTGGTCCCAACTATTTAAGTGGGTGATGACGTGTGTAATTTCCCAGGTGTAGGTGAGTCAGGTAGGTGAATTCTGGGAGTGGTTGTCCCAGCAACGTAGGAGTCGCAGGCCCCTGAATATGACGTCACCGGGTTCAGACTTATACTAACATACCCCACTTTTTCTTATTATAAAAAAGAAAAAAAGGGAGAGGGGAAGCCGATGGTGAAAGGGGGATCGGGCGTCGTGTCTCTCTTAAACTACTTCCTGCTGTGTAGGGGCGTAGTCCGTTGGGGGAGGAGCTGGTTTTTTCTACCATCGGGGCCCATTCTGTGGATGTGTGTACCAGGCTCTTCTGTGGACAGCAACTGGTGATCGTTTCCCAAAACGGTATTTCCTGGGGGTGCTGGCGAAGACCATCTTCTTTGGCTGTCAGGACACCTGGCATCTGTCGGTTCTGAAGCACCACGGCTGGAATCTCATGGGCTCCATGTGTAGAAACGGGTGTCTTGCAATGTTGGTAGAAGAAGTGGTTGGTCCGAGAACCTTAGCATATGTATCTGAAAGGACCAGTACTCTTGTATCTGGGCGAGAGGAAGCAAGTACAGAGGACATAACATTTAGATGGGATATCAGATATAGGAATGGTCCCTGGATGTAGTTTGGGTTGGTTCTTGGCATCCGGCTATGGAGCAGTTTCTTGACCCTGTTTGGAAAGACTGTTATCTGTGAGTGTCTCTCAAAACTCTTACATCCAGATGTAAGGGCTGACCTGGATAGGAATAAACAGCAGGGAGAGGACGAGAAACACATGTCTAGTCCTGTGGGGTCAAGCTCGGCTGTCGGAGTGGAGTCTCATTTTCTGGGATTAAGGACAAGGTGGGTGGTCTTGATGTCCTCTGGAGTTTAATAGAGCACGGTCCTGTTAGAGTCGATGTGTATGAAGGAGAATCGATTTTAGATGGGGGGGTGAAGGGCTTAAGGTGAGACAGGTGAACCCAATGAGGGAGTCCTTCAAGTTTAGCAGCTGTAGGGGTCACGAGGATTACCTTAAAAGGACCCTGCCATTTGGGAGAGAGAGGTGAGGGCCGATGGTCTGGAGGGGAGAGACGCACTTGGTCTCCAATGTTGACAGGCAGTGGACAGGAGACAGTGTGTGATCGAGGTAGATGGTGGTCAGCAAAGTTCCACAGGAGAGAACGAAGGTGACAAAGTAATGGGGTGAGCAGATGGTCTGGGAGGGGGGAACACTTAGGTGAAAGACCAGGAGTTAGGACTGGACGTCCATTCATGAGTTCAAAAGGTGAAATGAGGAGAGGTCGCTTGGGAAGGGCTCGTAGCCTGAAAAGAGCCAGAGGTAGGAGTTTTACCCAGTCAAGGTGAAGTTCCTGTGACAGCTTGACAAGAGTGGTCTTTAAAGAGCGGTTAGTTCTCTCTACCTTACCTGAAGATTGAGGGTGGTATGGAATATGAAAATTCCAGGGGATGTCTAGGGCCTTAGATAGAATTTGAGAAACTTGGGAAGTAAATTCAGGTCCATTGTCTGACTGGAGGGAGGTGGGGACACCAAAACGGGGGATGATCTCTCTGAGGAGGAGATCAGAGACTGTCTGAGCCCTTTTGTTAGTTGTGGGAAAAGCCTCTACCCAGCCTGAGAAGGTGTCTACCAAGACCAGGAGGTACTTGACACGTTTTACAGCAGGCATGTGGGTAAAATCAAGTTGCCAGTTGGTTCCAGGTAGGGAACCTCTGGCCTGGTGGGTAGGAAAAGGAGTGTTATGATACCTTGAGTTGGGATCTGACATCTGACAGGTTTTGCAAGAAGCAGTGATAGATTTTAGGAAACTTAAGTCCTCAGGAGTAGGCTGTAGGTGGGTCTTAACAAAATAAGACAACGCTTGGCTATTAGGATGAAAGAGTTGGTGAAGATAGGACAGGGTTTGACGAATGTCAGGAGGTGTAGGTGGGGATGTGGGTTGTAGTGTAAGAATCTCCTTGGGAGAGTGAGATGAGTCTAGGCCCCTAAGGGCTGCGGCTCTAGCTGCCTCATCAGCTCGGTTGTTTCCCTTGGAGACTATAGAGTCATCCGTGCGGTGGGATCTGCAGTGGACAATCCCAATAGCTGTGGGGAGATGGGAGGCCTTTAGCATGTCCATAATCTGGTTTGCATTAGTTACTGATCCTCCTTTTGTGGTAAGTAACCCGCGCTCCTTCCAGATAGCAGCATGGGACAGGAGGATATGGAAAGCATATTTGGAATCTGTGTAAACGCTAAGGGATTGTCCCTGTGCCAACTGGAAGGCACGGGTAAGGGCTATTAATTCAGCCTGTTGGTTGGTGGTATGAGCAGGAAGGGCCTGTGCCTCCACCACCTTGGTGTCAGACACTATGGCATAGCCAGCTTTCCTGACCCCTTCATGAAGAAAGGAGCTTCCATCTGTATACCAGGTAAAGGTGGCTTGAGGCAATGTGCCCTCCTGTATGTGTGAAGGATGAGGTAATAGTTCTTCTAAGGTTTCAGTGCAGGAGTGAGATAGAGAGTAGTCAGTGTTAGGTTGGGGAAGAAGATTGGAAATATTAAGAGGTGGGCATGATTGAAAGGTGAGGGTGGGGTCTTCTATTAGAGCTACCTGAAGAGAAAGAACCCTGCAGGGAGGTAGAGTCTGTAAGCCTTTATAAGTTAGGAGCTGTGACAGGCTGTGAGAAGAGAGGACAGTTATAGGCAATCCCAGGGTTAGTTTCTTTGATTCTCGAATAAGGAGTTCAGCAGCTGCTAAGGTACGAATGCATGGTGCCCATCCCTGGATGGTTGGATCTAGTCTTTTTGACAAGTATGCTACAGGTGCAAAAGATGGTCCCAGTTGATGACCTAAGACTCCAAGGGCAAATCCCTCTTTTTCAGTTACGTAGAGGGAGAAAGGACGAGTCAGGTCCGGGAGATGTAAGGCTGGGGCCTTAAGGAGAGCCTGTTGGAGCCTTTGGAAGGGCTTAGTGACAGGTTTGAGAAGAGGTTCGTGGGTGGGGCCTAATGCTGCTTCATATAAGGGGCGAGAAAGTAGGGAAAAGGAAGGAACCCAGGAACGCAAGAAGCTAGCCATTCCTAGGAATGATAGAATCTCTTCCTTTGTAGAAGGAACAGTTAGAGACTGAATCAGGTTCTTTCTATCTAAGGTAATAGCCTTGTGGGTTGGGGTAATTTCTAGTCCCAAGTAGGTGACTTGAGGTGTGGACAGTTGAACTTTAGAAGGTGAGACCCTGTAGCCCCGACTGGAAAGGAAATTTAGAAGAGCAGCTGTGTCAGCTTGGCTAATTTCTAGGGAGGGGCTACAGAGAAGGACATCATCTACATAAACTACAATCTTAGATCTAGGGAGAGATAAAGAGATTAAGTCAGAAGCTAGGGCCTGTCCAAACAGATGTGGGCTGTCCCGGAATCCCTGAGGTAGAACAGTCCAGGTAAGTTGGGTAGAAAAGTGGGTGTCAGGATCTGTCCAGGTAAAGGCAAATATGTCCTGTGACTGGGTGTCTAGAGGGATAGAGAAAAAGGCATCCTTGAGATCTAGGACTGAAAAATGAGAAGTCCCTGAGGGGATAGTAGAGAGAAGCGTGTAAGGGTTAGCTACGACAGGATGGAGGGGAACTACGGCAGAGTTAATGCGCCTGAGATCTTGAACCAGGCGATAGGTGTCATTAGGTTTCTTAACTGCCAGTATAGGGGTGTTAAAGGGGGAAGAGGTAGGTCGAAGGAGTTTTTTTCTTAAGAGGTCAGCAATGATAGGCTTAAGTCCCCTGAGGCTCTGGAGAGAAAGAGGGTATTGTGCTTGGCAGATGTACCTGGTAGAGTCCAGTAACTGGATGACAACAGGAGAATGATGTTTAGCAACAGAGGGGTTCTGGACATCCCAAACGTGGGGGTCCACCTGAGAAGCTGGTAAGGGAAATAACATGTTCGTGTTAGTAGGGTGATTGGCTAAAAGGAGGAGCAGAGGAACTGCTGGCGAGCTTGGGCTTAAGCGAATTGGTGGAGCAAAGGAAATAGAAGCTCCCAACTTAGCTAAAATATCACTTCCTAATAAGGG